GCTTTTAAAATTATTCTGTGTAATTTAATAAATTTACAATAATATTAATTTTATACACTTTTTTTTATATTTCAAGCTAACGAGCTACAAATGCTGAACCAATTGGCATATCGATTATATGTATATAACTATACTACTTAAATTTTAGTTTATTAGATAATGATTCAAACGACATAGAAGCCAGTATCAATCACCTTTACTTGAAAGGACTTGATAAAATTGCCTTTCTGCCATTCGCGTACATGATGGACAAATGGCGCTGGATGGTGTTCCAGGGAGAAGTTACGCCTGATAATTATAATTGTAACTGGTTGGTATCATTTTTGAATCATGTTAAATAATGTAATCATAATATACAGAATATTTTTCAAATTGTAAAATGAGTAGAAAATTGCAGAATCTATTTAATAAATAATTCGAGTATATTAAGTATCGAGTATAATAAGTTAAATGTAATGAATTAGTATATATAATTAAAATTGATATTGTATTCTGCTAAAAATTGTTTTCTTAAACATTTAAATCTTTTTTCATAATACTAATGTGTCCTTTTTAATTTCCAATTGTCAGGTGGGATCTTGCTGAAACTTTCCAAGGTATTGAACCACCAGTAGATCGATCCGAAGACGACTTTGATCCAGGTGCAAAATATCATATAATAGCAGATGTAGAATATATCAGATATTACATTAGTTTCATCATACAATTCCAATTCCACAAAGCGCTTTGCATAGAAGCGAAACAATACGATCCGCATAATCTGAATTCAAAACCATTGCACCAATGTGATATTTATAATAATAAAGCAGCAGGAAACTTATTAAAGTAAGTCTTCATTCCCTCACGCGCACCTTCGTTTGTCATTGAGATGAATATTAAAAACCTTAAAAATTTATTGCTACAGATCAATGTTGGAACTGGGTTCTTCTAAACCTTGGCAAGATTCAATGGAAAAAATCACAGGACAACGAAACATGAACTCTGCTGGACTGTTGGAGTACTTCAAACCTCTAATGGATTGGCTCACAGAGGAAAATAAAAAGACAAACGAATATATAGGATGGAACCCTAGGGCAAGACGTATGTATTTTTACAAGAAAACATTGTTTTAATATTCATGATATATTACATGCTAATTTATTAAATTTAACTTGTTCCAGAATGCGTACAAACAAGATCAGAGCTCGAGACTGTTGAAACAACTGAAACAGATGAGGCAAATGAATAGCAAACACTTTTTTTTTAATAGTGTTATTTCTAGATACTTGTGTATTTTGATACAAAAAACGCATCAACGAACGATTGGACTTTGATTTTCACGCAATAAATGACAAAACTATATAAATGATACAAACCAATGATAAATAAGTACATTCAGAAATGTTAAATTTTTTTTTTTTTTAAATAAAAGTCTTCAATTTTACAATATTCACATTATTTTAGTTTTCCTCGCCCTCTTCCACGTTTGTTAGGCTTATCACTAATATTTTTGCTTTTCATTTCACTTTTGTCGGTTGTTTTACCCTTTGATTCAATTTTCTTGTTTGTCTTGGACTTCTTAGCCTAAAAATGCATTTTATCTGATAAATGATACTGCAATTATGAATAGGTAATTTCCGTGATGTAAAATATTTTTCAATCAACCTTAATCATTCTATCTTTTTCAACATTATCATTATTTTCATCTGCATTCGCTTCTTCTTCTTCTTCTTCTTCTTCTTCATCTAACAGACCTTCATCTTGTAATGCTGCCTTTTTTTTGGATACACCAGTCACTGTATATGGTATAGCTGTAGAATTCTTATTGTATGCCCTTGTAAAAGCAGCTTTCACCTGTAACAACAATTCTTATTACACTTTTCCATACTTAAACGTCTCAAAATTATTGAAAACGATTTAAAACTTGAAACATACTTTACTATCTATAACTTGCATTGGATCCCGATCACCAGGCCACAAAGAAATTTCTATCAAAGAATCCAAATCTTCCCTATTAATAGTAAAAACATAAAAGTTTAACTGTACAAATTGATACTATAAAAATATAATTCGTAAATAGCGTGTCTTTATGAAATATTAACCTAAGTAAGTGATAATAATTCATGACGCTTATTGCCACATTTACACTTTCAGTACCATCAACTGCTAAAGGTCTGATAATAGCATTTCTGAGGGGTTTAATATAATCCAAGTTTATAGATTCTTTACTTGCACCAGTAGCTAAACGTGCATGTACAGTGATTTCTTGTGTTAATCTATGAATCATATAATCAGAAAATGTAAAATGTAGAAAACGTATTAATAATAACAGTAACAACAACAACAATAATGCTGCTGCTGATGATGGTAAATATAATAATAGTAAGAAGAAGAATCTTAACAACTACGACATTACCGATCAAATTTACCAGTTTTTGAATTACGTCCAAGCCAAGCTGGAAAATTAATCTGACCACCAATGTGACCAGACATTACTGTTCCAGGTATGACAGAAGAATAGCAAGCTTGTACTGGTAAAAGAGACCAAGCATTATTGCTTCTTATAGACTTCTCAACTATATCACCCAGTGCTAAACTTTCAGCACTTTCTGCTATTCTTTGTAATAATTTGTTTCTATATAGAGGAAAAGTAGTATTAAATGCAATTAATAATAAAGTGAATATATATGATAAGTTATCAGATTAAAATTTGGTTTCCTAAATATTTTATACATAAAGATTATAGATGAATTCAACTGTTTGTAATTTATTTTTCCCGCATAGTTTTTTCTCTATCTTCTACTGCATAAAGTATTTCATTTATTCTAATTGTGTAACTCATTTTGTATGCATAAACGACGGAAATAAATATTTTATTTTGTTTTATACGTACTTTGGTACACGGGGTACAACTAGCAAATAGTTTTCTTGCACAAATAATGGAGCTATATTGTAATCGTGAAAAAACAAGTCACTCTTATCATAAATACTCATATGCTCTTCAGTGGAAAATACTTTTTTTACGACATCCCAGGGTCCCAGTTTTAAATCCTTGTTCACACATTTTTTCTCAGATTTTTCCTGTGAACCAGTTTGTCCAATAAACAATGCTAAATGATTTATAACTTGTCGAATATCTTGATTAGTTGATTCAATTAAACGATCAAGATCTTCGGTTGATATAATAATATTTTCTTTAAAACATATCGATTTCATTGCTCCCTGTGGAAAAAGTTTGTATAAAATAAAAAAATATACAATAAATAATGAAAAGTATCTTACAGGATTTATTATTATTTTACCCTAATCTGTTCTAATCTAGGTTTTGGAAATCGAAGATCGAATGTATAATTAGAAAGCGTCCTCATTTTGGGATTATTTCGATCATTGCAAATACAAACAATGGGTATATCAGTTGACTTGATTAAGCTGATTAATTCTTGTAAACCACCGCGATCTTCGTTACCAGCCATTCCATCTACTTCATCCATCAACAAAACGTGTTTCGATGTTGGCTTACTTTTAGTATCTATAATGTAGAATAATTTAAAAAATATCAGCATCATTTTACTTGCGCTGGTATGCATGATATTTTTAATACATTTAATAAAACTCCATTACTTTATTTGACTAATTGTATTAAATGCAAAATGTTTTGTAAGTATATACTTATACATGCAAGCGTCAATAATATAAAATAACTGAAATTAATTTGTCCATGAAATAGTTTAGATTTCTTATTTAAACACTTTATTTAAGACATTTTAAACAAATTACTTATTAAAAATCAATTTTTAATTTATAATTTAAATAATTT